TGAGGTAGCAATCCCTTCAGCTCCCATTAAACCTGAGTACAACGTCAGCAATGTCCACTGGACTGTGATTATTTGCTTATGAGTCTCTTTCCTTGGCTGTGAGCTTACTGAAACACCAACTCTCGTTCTACCAGCTCATACACAGTGCTTGGCATGTATGATGCTCAGTACACAGTTACCATGAATCTAACCTCAGAACCTATAAATCAAGTTCCAGAATCTGTGAACCTGCTGATGAGTTTCCTGTATCTTCAGATGAAAACCTTGAATTTATAGCAACCTCATCTGGGTTCACAGTGAACCCCTGCCCTTTTCCTTCAGGAAAGTTTTTAAGTTTCCTTCAATAAAGGTCTCACATTGTTCTTTTACATTTTTAAAGCAAGTTGATTGCTTCCATGGATGGTAGTGTTTTTCCTAATTCCCATTCTAATTGGTTCTTTCTAGTATATAGGAGTCTAATATCTGATAATGTCTGCATTTTCTTGGGAAAAATCTCAGTTTTCACAGTTTATAGAGGATTTTCCTGGTAGATGATCATATATATTTATATATATATATATATATATATATATATATATATATATATATATATATATCTTTTTTTTTTTTTTAAATAATGGCAGCTTTACTATCCCCCCCCAATCCCTAATTTTTATACCTTGTATTTTGGTTTTTTTGTCATTTGGATTTTGCATGTACAATGTTGAACAGTACAGGGGACGAGGCATCCTTGTCTCCTTCCCTACTCAATTAGAAATGTAGCCAGTGTTTTCTCATTAGGCTAGATCCTCCCTTCTCTGCCATTATGTTTGGTGTACATTTGCTAGAGTGGGCAAGGTGGTTCCTATATGACTAAGAAAGATAGTGGAAGATGAGGAAAACAGCTATAGGACCAAGTTGAGGATGTAACCAGGAGTGAGAGCCTGCTCCAAATTCACTAAGAATCAGTGCACACACACGAGGAACCTCTTAGAACCCACGGCCCACATGCTGGCATTATGTCTCTTTCTAATCCTATGTGCACACAAATTAACACTGCCCCAAGAAACATTTACATGACAAGAGTTCAAGTTTGGAAACTATTTATAAAGGACTATGTAACCTATATATCTAGACAAATTATCAGCCAACCAAATGGTATCTTCACTTTTTTGTTTTTTGTGTTTTTTTTTTGTTCAGATAGAGCAGGAGGGAGAGAGAGAAAGAGAGAGAGAGAGAAACATCGATGTGAAGGGACACATCGAGTGGCTGCCACCCGCACGACAACCAGGGCCGGGGACAAACTGCAACCGAGGTACGTGCCCTTAGCGGGAACCGAACCCGGGTCTCTCTGTACCGCAGGCCGACGCTCCAACCGCTGAGCCAAACCGGCCAGGGCTCTTTGTTTTTTTTTAATCCTCACCTGAGGATATTTTTCTATTGCTTTTTTTTTTAGATAGAGTGGGAGGGAGGGAAGGAGAGAAGGGGCGGGGAGAGAGAGAGAGAGAGAGAAATATTGCTGTGAGAGAGACACATCGATTAGTTGCCTCCCACACAATCTGAGATATGTGCCCTTGACCAGGAATCAAACCCAAGACTCTTTGGTTTGAGGGCTGATGCCTAGTCACTAAGCCAAACTGGCCAGGGCTTGATTTTTTTTAAATTGATTTTTAGAGTGAGAGGGAGGAAGAAGGAGAGAAAGAGAGAAACATCAATGTGAGAACAAAACATCAACCAACTGCCTCCTGCATGCTCCCTACCAGGGATTGAGCACCCAACCTGGGCATGTGCCCTGACCAGGAATGGAACTGGCAACCTTTCGGCACACAGAATGACACCAAACCAACTGAGCCACACTGGCCAGGGCTCTTCACTTCTATTTTGATTGTGGGCTAGATATCCCAAAGAAGACATGTATCCAACAAAAAACAACCAATCACAACTGCCTGCGTCTCTGCTACTGTGCATATTAGTATACTCTGAGTGATCAGAGTTCTCTAAGAATATCTTACAAAAGCGTATTTCATTTCATTGTTTACCCAACTGCCTGTTTAATGATAAATTGTTATGGAAGTCCAAGGGCCAAAGGATAGCACTAAGCCCGGGAGACCTATCATTCTAAACCACTGAGGCCAGACTGGCCTGATTTTAATTCAACCTGGAAAAGTGAAATTCCATTCTTTCAAAAAAACTGTCCGGCTGGTGTGGCTCAGTGGTTGAGCTTCGACCCCTGCACCAAGAGGTCACCGGTTTGATTCCCAGTCAGGACACATGCCCAGGTTGTGGGCCAAGTGGGGAGCACGCAGGAGGCGGCCAATCGATGTTCTCTCATTGATGTTTCTATCTCTCCCTTTCACTTCCTCTCTCTCTAAAATCAATAAAGAAAAAAAAAATTAAAAAAAAAAAAAAAAACTTTAAGAGGAAAAGGCCCCACAATTTCAGAGTGTTGTGATGACCTGGCTCTCCCCAGTGTGATTCCTGGGTTACAGACTAAGTCCTCTATACTTTATAGAGTCTCAGAAAAAAAATTAAAAAACATAATTTTTAATTTTTAAATCTTTCATTAGCATGAAGACATTTCATCAGCACAAATGTATTGATCATCTGACATCTGCTGCTTCCCAGGGGACTATATGGTACATAAATACAAGAAAGCCATAGTTTCTACCCTGAAGGAATATTTGGTCTTATGGGAGTTAAATAAGGAATTCTATAGTCTAAAGCAGCACAGATGCCAAGAAAAATATAGGCTAGGGCAGGACCAGCAGGGCAAAAACTGACTTTGCTTTTGATTGTTCAGGTTGTATACTCCTTGGATTCATCTGAGTTTGTTAATATCCTGCCTGTGGGACTTTTAAGAAAAACGTAAATTTTTCTTAAGTTGTGTTAATAAAATTGATCTGGAGAATTAACTGTATGATTTGTTAATCCAATCATCAAGAGGTCGGATTCCTCCTATATATCAGGCGGTAGACTGGGTACATGGTATGTAGCAGCAAATAAAACAGGCAGGATTCCTGTTTTTGCAAGGTTTACGCGTTAGCAGATTCAGGTTTCCAAAGGTCTCCTCCTCTCTGGATGGTCGGCCCCCACTCTTATGAGATTCCTCACCCCCCCACCACAAAGTACCTCCGACCAACTTCCTGCACCCTCCGTGACCACGAAGAAATGCAAGGACTGAGGCGTGGACGGTGCATCCACAGGCCCCCTCTAAGCTGCTGTCTCTGCTTTATAAATGCGGCCGATTTCCAGCAACAGCAGGGCTAAAACCATACATGTTAGTAAAGCAGGGTTTCTTGGGCTGCCCTAGAAACCCCAAACTCTTTCTATGACTGTTTCTATGAGAAAGGCCACCCAGTTCTAAACTGGCTTAGCAAACGCACTGCTGAAGCACATTCTGTTTGTAAGCTGTCGACAGCTTGTGCTCAGACAACTGCGAGCTCCAATAGCTAAAAACGATCTGGCACCCACACAGAAGTTCCTGTACACACATTTTACTTTATAGTTGGAGCCTTTCCATGACACTGGCGAAGCCATAATTATTATGAATGTTAGCCTATAGGAGTATCCTTGGAGGCCCTTCCACCAGCTGGAATGGCAACACCAGTCGAGGCTTCAGCTGTAAGTCTGCCCACACTGGTGGCAGAAAATTGAAGGCATGCTTCTGAGCAGCCCCTGAGGCAAGGTGTTTATACTGCATGGCGATCCCTATTTTCTCCTCCTCTTTTCTTCCACATGCAAATCCAAATGCCCCCATTTTCAGCCACCAGAACAGCTGAATACCGTCATCATCGGAAAAATTAAATGCTTGTCTCAAAGAAGGAGCTGCTCTTTAGAAAATCTTGCGCATCTCAGGGCAGAGACAAAAAATGTGGCGTTGACAGTTCATCTTGGCTCCAGGATGAATACACTGATCCCACATGGCTTTTCACAACTGAGAACACCTCCAGGCCAGGGTAGCCAGAAAATCCTCGGGGTTTGCAAAGGGGCATCATGACTGATCACTGAACACTGAAGTCCAAAGGCATTCTCACTTCCATCAACCTAGGTGATCTTGGGGACAACTCTTTCATGTTCCAGCTCCTCCTCATCCTGTTCTCTCTCCCTGGGATGGCAACCTCGATCTCTCCTGCAGGTCTCAAGTGCCTATAAAATGCTGTTCTCTGAAGCTCTCCCTGGCTCCCTTAAGCCAAATCAGCCTCTTTCTTACATCCGCATTCCAGCGGTCCATAACTCCATCATACCATCTGTCACGTGGCATGAGTGTTGCATATTTATCATTCTATTTATTTCAGTTTATCATGTTATCTTACGGTCCTCTTAGGGTATCAGGCAATATGCTATCCATCACTCCTCCTACTAATATTAATAACATTATTAGTAGTATTATGAGTGTTTACTATGTGTCAGACTCTATAGGAACACAATCTCTAAGTGTTACAAGAGCCCTATGAGGTGGATATTGTTATTCTTATCATTTTCCCCCCCTATAGTTCAGGAAAGTAAAACCAGGAGAGATTATATAAATGGTTAGTCATGACACAGAGTCAAAATAAAGTCTATTTTCCCTTTAAGCCCATGCTTTTAACCACTACCCTAAAATACTACTTATAAAAAATAGTAGATGATATTTTTTTACTAAGTGCTTACTAGATGACAGGCTCTGTACCATGTGCTCTTATGTATATTAGCTAATTTGATCCTCACAAAACCCGTCATATAGATATCAACATTATAATCTCAATTTAAAAAGAAAATGATATTCAGGTTCCAAATGGGTAAATGACTTGCCCAAGGTCACAAACTATAGAGAATGGAGTTGAAAGTAGGTCAATCTCCCCTAGGGCCTGAGCCCTTTCCCACTACTCTGTTCCATGACCAGATGGTATATTTTCTTTAATCTGTGCCAACACTGCACTTGTTTTCAAGAATAACCCCTCTGGGAAACAGAAAACTGGACAGTGACCCAGCATTCTGACCCACGCAGATAAACCAAACCTCTCAAGCCCCTAGGAGCTCACCTTAGCACATGTGTGGATCCATTAATGGTTGTGGTTGAACAGGGGACAGTCTGGCCCAGAATGGAAGGTCTTCGGTAGCGCTCACTATCACAGCAGAGGATGATGAGAAAGGCACGTCGAAAAGACTTATTCAAGAAGGCGTAGAGAAAGGGGTTCAATCCAGAATTGATATAGCCGAGCCAGAGGAAAGCGGTCCACACCTTCCCAGGGACCGTGTAGTCTATGAATGGATCCACGATGTTGGTGACAAAGAATGGGGCCCAGCAGAGGCAGAAGCAACCCATGATGATGCACAGGGTCTTGGCCGCTTTGGTCTCTGTCCTCATGCGGTGAGTGCTATGCTGGTCTGCCGGCTGGGGCCTGCCTTCCGAAGGGGCTCCCGCCCGCTGTAACATGTGGATCTGATGGGCATGCTCCTTGGCTGTGATGTAGATGCGGTAATAGGCCAGCACCATGAGGAGAAACGGGATGTAGAAGGCCACCACGGAACAGGTGATGGCGTAGGGCTTGTTGACCATGAAGATACAGTACGTGGAGTTAGAGTTCTGGTGGAACTTCCTTTTTTCTATCTGAGGGGTGGAGGGAAAGAGAAAGGGAAAAAAAAAAAAGTGAAGAGGAAAAAGTGGGAGGGGAATGAGGAAATGTGTGAGAGAAAGACGAAGAAGGGGAAAGAAAAGGAGAAATTGAAGTTAGAAGGAAGAGGAGGGGAGCAGGGAAGAAAGAATAAAAGAAAAGAATCAAGGGAAGAGGAGAGAAGATTTATCAACAGAGCTTCCTTTTTCTTCTTCTTTTTTTATAAGCCTAGAAACTTGATGGTAGAAAAGGAATATGATTGGATCTCAGGGCTCAGAGGGTTTGTCTACCCACAAGGGGCCGAAGCCCCAGTGAAGAATAGAAATAAAATAGGGACAAAAATTGCTCTTCGTTCTATCTACCCAACCAACAGTGGAGGACCAACTGCCCATCCTCCCTTCCCTGTCTGCTTGCACACAATAGATCTGATAGTAAAATCTTCAAACTGTGACTCATCTTCTTCAAGACTGTGTTGGCTATTCTTACCATCTCAGTATTAGCTTACCCATTTCTTTAAAAATCTTTAAGGAGTTCTACTGGCGTTAGAATGGAATGATTGAGGAAAACCGGTATCTCGACAACGTTAAGTCTTCCCGTTCACAAACATGGTTATGCTTGCCCTTCCCTGAAGTCTTTTAAAATTTATTTTAGTCATATTTTATAGTTTTTGTGTAAATGTCTTGTGCATCTTTTGTTAGATTTATTCCTGAGTATTTGACTTTTTATTCTATTGCAAATGGTACCGTGTTAAAATTCTAAATCCTGTTTATTGCCAGAAGGTAGAATTCAGCAAAAACAAACAAACAAACAAACAATAAACAATTTTGTATATTGGCTATGTATCCAGCAACTTTGTTAAATTAGTTACTAATATCTCATCTTTAGATCCTTTTGAATTTTCTCCATACACATTCATGTGAACTGTAAATAATGCCAATTTCATTTATTCCCTTCCAATATATGTAACATCTTTTCTTGCATTGTTGAACTTGGCAAGTGCTCCAGTATAATTCTGAATAACAGTGGTAAGAGTGGAGACCACCGTGACATTCCCAGTTTTAGGAAAGACTTTCAATATTGTCCTATTAAGTATGATACTTGTAAGTTTTTTGCCAATGTTTTTTATTTGATTGAGAAAGTTCTCTTCTAGTCTTAGTTTGATGAGGACTTTTAAAAATCATAAATGAATATTGAAAATTTTTAATGCATTTTTGGCAATAATGAGATGATCACATGGGGTTTTCCTTCTTTATTAATACAATGAATGACACTGTTTGCATTGCATTCCTCACTCGTATTGGATACTGTGATACCCTATATCCTGTTTGAAGGACTGAATGACTTTTCTCCCAATTATAAACTTCGGTGCTGACAGCTCTTAGTTATCAGCCTTCTCTATGAATAGCCTTTGGCTAAAGAGAGCTGTGTGACAAAGCACACAGCTGAGACCAGCCTGTGTCCAGTGTGAATATACACATGAATAAAAATATATACAATATGGTATATATTACACACAAATGTTACTACTTGTGTAATAAAATACACAAGTAATTGAGCATCTTATAGTATATTATAAGGTTATAGTCTATCTTCCTACTGAATTGACATTTTATCATTATGAAATACCTCATTTTATTTCCAGTAATACTATTTGCCTTAAATTTATTTTATCACTGATAACATGATAGTTATGCCAGTTCTCTTTTGGTTAGTGTTTGCATATTATATTTTTCTATTACTATTTTTTCTAGCTTTCTGCATCTTCTAGTTCGTGGGCCTCCCTAACAAGCAGCATATATGATGTATTGACTAGCTGATGAAAATATTGCAACCAGAGACGTGGAGGAACCTAACCCTGTCTTTTTCCTAGGAGCGAAGGTTTAGTAACTGCTAATTTGGCATTTGCAGCAACTGATCACTGCGAATAACGAGAATCAACTGTATGGGTATTGTGAACACGTGGGTACTGCTAGCTTCTCTCTGGGAAGAGCCAATGTGCCAGTAAGTGGAAAGATATAAAATGCAGCCAGAGCATCATGGAGCAGATATTAGGCATATTGACAGTACGAAGATGCCACACCCTTCAGAAAACAGTGGATGCTTCTCACTCTCATAAATGGACAAACATTCCCTAGGTTATTTCCCTTAAAATTTCCACATCAGAAGGTAAAAGTGCTGTGCTCTTATTAAAAGTTCTGATGCACAAAAGCTTATGCTTCCGAAGGTTTTCTCCATTAAGGAGCAAGGTTAGCACAAACAGGAAGAAGCATACATTGGGCTTAAAAAGAGCCACCACCCCTCCTGACCAATGGAACTTCAGCTAATAATTTCACCTCTCTGATCATTTCCTGAGGACAGTAACAGGATCTACTTCATAGCCTCGTTGTGCAGCCTGAAGAAGAGTGATTCAATTAACATGGGGCTCAGCACACTAAGTGTTCAATATTTGTTGGCTGTTATTATTGTATCGGTTGTTGGAAACTTGACATTCATCTCTCCCAAGAAGGATAAAACTGAAAGTTTGAAAGAAGAGGGATAGGATTCAAGAAAATGTCCATACAGTCTCCCTTGCATGGGTCCCCAGCACTGCTCTCAGAAGCCCTGGGAACTCTTGTTCTGACATACCACATGCAAATCCTCGCCCAGCCTTGGTTTGGGTATTCTTTCCTGGACAGAGAACAAGGCAAGATTAGGGGCTAGGAATGGAAGAGAGGAAGGGGCAACTCCTACTCTAACTGGTTCTGTTGGGCTGGAGCTTGCTCTCAATCTCCCCTCTCTGCTCCCCTTCCCACCACAACATGGTACTGGGATCAACTTTAAAGTGACAGCCTGACTACTTCCTTAGGGAATATATATACCCCTGGTAATGAATCCAGACCATAGCTTTTGATCATAAGTTTGATATTGCAAACATAGGATGTCAGAGCTGGATGACTCTTAACAATCACCTAGACTGGGGATGGTAAATGCCCGACACGTGTGCTACCAAGCTATTCTCCTACATCCTGGGAGACACTGTTCTCCACTGGGGGCCGATGGATCGTCTCACTATAGCCCTGCAGGAAGTGAGTCAATGAGAGTGCTGGGCTCAGGGTTCAGCTCTCAACTCCTGGTCCAGGGCTCTCTTCATTTTCCAAAATCTTCCATTTGCATGACATGTTTTCTGTGGGTCACTGAAAGCCTCAAAGACTTTCAGCATGAAATAGGATAAAGACCTCTTGGGGCACTGGAGTCTGAATGCTAAGCTTTGAACACTTGTTCTGCTACTTACTAGGCATAATATTGGACATGTCATTTCACCTTTCTGAGCCTGACTTTTCTCATCTAGATGAGATGAGCAAAGGATGTTATCAGGATCATAAGTAAAGTATTCAAATACTTTCTGTCATAGAGTAAGCATTCAAAAATTCTGACTTGCTTTTTTGTTATTGTTCTTGTCATGGCTCAGATAACCATCAGAATCTTTCTTAGAATTATCCACCCAACTTGATACTACGTGTTTATTTAGAATCCAAAGCAAACTAAGTGAATCGGACAGTTAAGCAGTGGGGTCTGGGTGGGGTCTACTCACCAAATCAATTATGCCAATGTTGTTCCAGCCTTGCATTATAGGAAGAAAAGAGATGAACATGGGGATGACCCAGCAGCCTCCCAGCATTAATGCGATGCGCAGAGGGGTCATCTTGTTCCTATAGACCAAAGGCTGGCAGCAGATGGCATAATACCTGGAGAGAGAATGGGGGCGGGTGCCGAGGGAGAGTAGGAATTGGAGGGAGAAGGAGAGAGAATAATTGATGAGAGGGAAGAAGAGAGATGGAACAGGGAGAGGAAGAAAGATATGAAGAGGAAATATTGGGAAAGAAAAAATTGGAGGGGGAAGTAGAGAATAAAAATAAAGAAGAAAGAAAAGAGAAAATAATGGGGGAGAGTGAGTAGCAGAGGAAGGGAAGGAGGAAGGGGAAGATGAGACGAAAGAAAAAAGCAATTATACAATAAAATATGTTATATTGACCAATGAGTTTCTGTTAATATAAACTTTAGATCACATCTGAGAATCACTGCCTAGAGTCAGCCCCAATGCCTGAGAAGCTGGACACACAGCTGAGAGTCTGCTCTTTCTCAGGCATAGCTCCAACAGTATCCTCATGCCTGGGCATTTGAGGAGCTTCAATCCAGCCCTCTGGGCCTCGGTGTCCTGGCATCTGAGGTCCTCTTTGATAACAACTTGAGGTGACTCATGCTTGGCTTGACATCTGAGCTGTTAAGAACTCTATCTCAGATTTGTCACCGTTCTCTTGATCACTTGCCTATACTAAGATGATGCTCTAAGTCAATGTTCCTTACATTGTCCAGGAATCCCATCTGCATCAGAATCACCTGAGGAGGCCTATTTAAAGTGCAGAAACCAAGGATCTCCTGAGGAAGAACCTGGAGTTTGCATTTTGACAAGCGGAAGTCATGACGACTGTTAACTAAGCATGCCCAGCCCCTCCTTCTGGGCACCCACACTTCCTGGCTTCCTTGTGGTTGGGTAAGGCCAAGTGACTGGTCTGGTCTATGAGCTGTGAACAGAATTGGCATGTATTACTTCTGGGCCGGACCATTTCATTGTTTCTCTAAGAAAGTAAAATTTCAAATATTTCCTGTTTCATCATTTCTTGCCTACAGATAGAGACCACCTCACTCCTTTTTTCAGGGTCTCCTCCTCCTCACAGAATGCACTGTTCATCTTTCTTGGAATCCATGTTCCACCTATGGTATTGACTTTCTTCCTAGCTGCAGATAGAGATGCAACCTGCCCCACTCAGTGATTAAGTCTCTAATTTCCAGAGTGCTCCTTGCATGTCATTCTAGCCATGGAGATCACCACTTCCATGTCCGGAAGTTTGTGGAATTTGACAACAGGCAAAATAACACAGTAGGTCTATCAGCTTTTTGTCTTTGCAAGAATCTAAAGAATAAGTGGAAAAAGAGCCTGAAGGCTGTCTATTCTTTAAGACTATATACCATTTAATGATGAGCCACCCCCTTATCCTCCTCCTTTTATGTAGTTCACTTTGTTAATTTTCCCCACCTCTTCTTTTCTTTTCTTAATTCAAGGCACTACTAATATCACAATAGCAATATTTTTTGAAGAGGTGGTTGTGGGATGAGTTGGAGAGGGTGGAATAAGAAGGAGAGCCCAATGTTAAAGCACGAGAAGTGGGTGCCTTGGGAGATGGCAGGGACTATACTTTTCTTTCTAAGGCATCAAGGAGCAGCTGGCCGCACTGTGCTTCCTGTGGCCAGCGAGACGGTGGGTGTCCTGATCTGGAACACAGTGCAAGGAACAACAGTCCAAAGAATAAAAGAGGGAATTGGTCAGGAACTTCTTTTTTCTACGTATCAAACTGACATGGTAACCAAAATCTAACTAAATACAATTCAGTAATGGAAATAATGATGACTATCTAGAATTCCCTCCATGCTCCTGACTTATAAGAAAGGCAAGTTATGACTTCCGGTCAAGATGGCGGTGTAGGTAAATCCAAAAAATGAGAATAGTGTAAGGAGCCTCTGGGACAAAGTCACGACTAAACATCAAAGTTACGACTAAACTACAGAACAACCATCACTCAAAACCGCCTAACATTGAGCTGAATGGAAGTCCTACAACTACAAAATTAAAGAAGCAGTCACATCAAGACTGGTAGGAGGGGTGGAAGCACGATAGGGCTGGTCCCACACTCACATGTGGAGGAAAAAAAAAATAGAAGAATACCTTGGCTGGGAAGGTCCTCCCTGAGGACTGAGGGGTCCCCATCCCACACCAGGCACCCAGCTCAGGGTTGCAGTGTCAGGAAGAGAAATCCCCATAACTTCTGGCTGTAAAAACCAGTGGGAACTGAGGCTGAGGGAGGCTGAGGCGGCTGGAACCCCAGGCAGCTCCTTAAAGGGCCCGTGCACGGACTTACTCGGGCTCACACCCTCCTGGCTCCAGCATGGGGGAGGCAGCTTGAAAGGTATCAGAGACATATGGGGAGGAACTGAGTTGTTTGGCACTGGAGCGAGGGCTGAAGAGGTGGATTTCTCCTTGACAGACATGCTATCAGAGGCCTTTGTTCCTTTGGTGAGCCCTTCCCTGAGGTGGCAGACAGCCGCCATATCTGGGACTCACACTGGTAGCCCCGCCCTGGTGAGGCCCCACCCCACCCAACTTTCAGGCCCACTCAAGCTGTTGCCAGTTGCTTTACCATAATATTGGCCTGTCTTGGATCCTGCTTCAGGTTTTCCTAAATTCTTTCAAACAAGCAGCATCTGGTCTCAGCTAGCCCCATACCTCTCGTTAAGTAATACACAGAAACAAACACAGAGAGGCAGCCAAAATGAGGAGACAAAGAAACAGGTTTCAAATGAAAGAACAGAACAAAACTCCAGGAAAAGAACTAAGTGAAATGGAGATAAGCAACCTAACAGATGCAGAGTTCAAAACACTGTTTATAAGGATGCTCAATGAACTTAGTCAGAACGTCAATGAACTTAGTGAGGATCTGAAGTGCATTAAAAAAGACCAGTCAGAAATGAAGGATGCACAGTCAGAAATGAAGGAGGCACTAACTGAAATAAAGAATAATTTACACAGATTCAATAGTAGAGTAGGTAAAGCCAAGAAGCAAACCATCAATTTGGAATATAAGAAAGCAAAAAACAACCAATCAGAACAGCAAAAAGAAAAAAGAATCCAAAAATATGAGAATAGTGTAAGGAACCTCTGGGACAACTTCAAGCATACCAACATTCGCATCTTGGGGGTGCCAGAAGGAGAAGAGAGAGAACAAGAAATTGAAAACCTATTTGAAACAATAAGGCAGAAAACTTCCCTAACTTGGTGAAGGAAACAGACATACAAGTCCAGGAGACACAGAGAATCCCAAACAAGATGAACCTCAAGAGGCCCACACCAAGACACATCATCATCAAAATGCAAAAGGTTCAAGACAAAGAAAGAATTTAAAAGCAGCAAGAGAAAAGCAGTTAGTTACCTACAAGGGAGTTCCCATAAGACTGTCAGCTGATTTCTCAAAAGAAACTTTGCAGGCCAGAAGGGAGTGGCAAGAAATATTCAGAGTGATGAAAAGCAAGAACCTACAACCAAGATTACTCTATCCTGCAAAGCTGTCATTTAGAGTTGATGGCCATATAAAGAGTTTCCCAGACAAGAAAAAGCTAAAGGAGTTCATCACCACCAAACCATTATTATATGAAATGTTGAAGGGTCTTTTTGAAGAAAAAGATAAAAAGTATGAACAAACAAAATGGTAATGAATACACATCTTTCGACAATTGAATCTACAAACAAAATGAACAGGCAGAACAGAAGCATTTTCATAGATACAGAGAACATTTTGTTGGTTGCCAGATGGGAGGGGGTTGGGGGAATCGGTGAAGGGATTAAGAAGCACAAATTGCTAGACAGATATGCACAGAGAAAAGATGGCCACATGAGGACAGAGACTTAGAATGATGTATCTACAGGCCAAGAAAATACAAAAATTGTGAGCAAACATCCTGAAGCCAGGAAGAGGCAAAGAAGAGCATCTAATTGATTTTATGGGTTCAAGGTTATTACCAAGGCTTTGGCACCCTTGAGGCAGCTGCCCTAAATAAGTCACCTTGTATCCTTCTAATAGCTTTCCTCATATCTTTCTAGAAAGCAAAGAATCTAGAAAAATAAACATCCCTTTGAAGGTTGTATTCAAGAATCAAAATTAAGTAGATGAAAATAAATATTACTGAATAAAGTGATTAATAAAAATTAAGTCCTTGTGCTAACTGACGAATAAAGCTTCCTTAAAAATTTTCATTTTTGTCTATAAATCAAGAATCAGATAGAAACCTGATAACTTGATGTTTATCTATCATTGTTTTTTAATTTCTATATTTCGATTAAATTACCCCTGCTAATAAAAATATGCATCCTATCATGAACTGCTCTCCAGCCTTACGTTGGACATTTCGCTTTCTTTTTTAACTAGAAAACTTATACAAAGTGGTGAAATGAATGTTCAAATGGCAAGTGAGGCTCCAGATGGTCAGGATTCACTAAGATGAACAAAGTCATTTTTTATGCGAAACATGTCAAAGTATTGCATTAAACCCCCTTTGGTAGACCAGTCACCAGCTTCCCCAGCCGCAGCCAGGTGTAAAACGTGTGATCACATTGCCTTTAAATGTCTCTGGGGACACAATTTACTTTGACAACTCTGAGAAGACATTATTTATTTTAAGCTCCACACTAATCTCTTCCTCGCTCCTGTAATTAAGGAAGATTCGTCCTCCTCACTTCCTGCCCCCTGCCGCGGGAAGGCAAAGGAGCAAGCAGAGCAAGATGGAATTCTAGACTCTCCGAATCAGAGATTTTAGCTTCATGTCTTCACACTCGGGACCTTAACCATCTATTAACTCTGTAGTCTTAGGATCCGTGGCTTCATCTCTCCAAGACCCAGTTTCCTCATTATAAATTGTGGGTCATTATGCCTACCTCATTGCTTTGCTGTGAGAATGGATGAAATAACATGTTCAAGACTTAGGAAGTTCCTGGCACATAAAGCTTAACAAATAGTAGTTACTATCTACGCCCATGTCCTCTCATCTTTTATATACAGTGTTGGCAAAAGGAGGTTTACAGTTATTCATATAAAAAGAATACACTGATTAATAAAGAATAAACTCGGTTTCACATACT